GGAGGGCCGCGGCCCCAACGCTTGGATGTTTTCCTGCGCATTTACAGAATCCTTTGATTACTGTGGGAGAGTTTGCTGGGACGCTGCTCTCCCGGGGGCGAGGAGCCGTCAGCTCCCGTCTCCCTCTGCTCTCCAGTGAGAGCACCGGGAGCCGGCGGTCAGCATCGTTCCTGCCTTCCCTGGGCACGACTGGGAAAAGCTTCATCGTCTAAAGCATTCTAAAAAAATAAAAAAACCCACAGAGCCTTAAAGCCGAGGTCCAGCAGATAATAAAGAATTAAAAGACAGCGCAGTCTAGTTTAAGCAAATTATTTACTGTGGTGTTTTACTTTTTATCTTTGCACTTGGAGTGTGGCTGCCTGGTCTGAGATGAACACCTCACGTACGATTTCAGGGTCCCCCTAGGATGTATTGAATGTGCTAATTCGGTGCAGCACAGCAGTGCTTTCTTGCATGAACAAGCTGTTTGTTGTCTCCTTTTTAGCCAAAACACACTTAAAATTCTGCCTTTACCTTCCAGGCCACGAAGAGCAAGCCTGCAGAAGAGAGCGATGCTCCTCCAGCCAAGAGAGCCCCCATCTTTTACGGCAGTTTGGAGGAGAAGGAAAGGGAGCGTCTGGCAAAAGGAGAATCAGGGTTGCTAGGAAAAGAAGGGATGAAAGCTGCGATGGAGGCTGGCAACATCAACATAAGCAGCGGTGAGAATGTTTAACTGCCTGTGTTTTTCCCCCTCTTGCTCTGGAATGTGATGCTTTCAAAGGTCTCTGATCAACTTTTGAGCATAATTTAAAATCAAAACCACGAGGCCGTAGCCTGGACTGTTGGCTCTTTGTTTGGGTCTTCCCGTTTGAGTGGGATCTCTCGTCCAACTGTTGTTTTCAATCTGGTGGTTTTGGTTTTTTGCTCAGGTGAGGTCTTTGATCTCGAAGACCACATGAGCGAGCGGCAGGCAGAAGTGCTGGCTGAGTTTGAGCGCAGGAAGAGAGCCCGGCAGATCAACGTGTCCACTGACGACTCTGAAGTGAAAGCCTGCTTGCGAGCGCTTGGGGAGCCCATCACGCTCTTCGGAGAAGGCCCTGCAGAGAGGAGGGAGAGGTGCTGTGTCTGCCCCGAGTTTTGCAGACTGGGAACTCTCAGTTTATCAAATTCCTGACGTTTTCCTTGTGGTTGGGGTGCAATGAGTGCTGGCAGTCAGTAACGCTTCATCGCAACGCAGGAAGGGTGCTGAGGAAGAACAAACGGCAGACAGTGATTATTTGTCAGGTTAGCTGAGAATCTGCTGCGTGAACACGACTTGATGTGTTTCTTTCCAGATTAAGAAATATCCTATCGGTGGTTGGCACAGACGCATTAAAAAAGACCAGGAAAGATGACGACAGGTCTAAAAAATCCAGAGAAGAGGTAATGGTCTCTCTTGTTCTCTCAGTGCTGAGGGAGATAGGCATGGTACCCTTTGAGATGCTTTACTTTGACCGTCCCTTCTGTGTCCAGGACTCTTGGTTTTGGTCAGTCTGTTGATTCTCACGTCATCCCTTCCTGC